GACTTCTTCTCTCACAAGTGAATCCCACTTTTCTCCTAACGGTCAAAAAATTAATTTTCAAAATTACTCCCAAATAGGCTCTAAATCTTTGTATCCCTCTGTGATTGGGAGGTGTTTCCTTTAAGGTTTATTTATTTTTTATTTTTTTTGGCCATCGTTTTAGGCTCAAAGTCTTCACTTTCTTCTCCTTCTCCTCAAGTTTCCAACATGAATTACATTTATTATTATTATTATTATTATTATTATTATGGTCCTTTAGGCGTGGCATTGTACAACTATTTTTTTACGCCAGCTAGTCCATGTTTCCCACAGCTATTGAAGGAGATTGGTTAATTGATAAAATGGCTTTGTCTAAAATCTTAAACCACTAAATGCCCATCTCATGAATTTTGTACTCAATTAAATATTTATGGAATAATACGTTTACTAATCAAAGTTTATTTTAAGAAATAATAAAAATATCATTTGGAATTCCCAAAAATAAAGAATTATACTATGTTGGACTTATTGACATGCACGTGCTATGGACCAGAATCGTCCTTGTGTTTAATTTAATGAAATAATTCTTTTTCATGGCAAAACTATATAGTACCTATTTGGTGGAAAATAAAATTAGATTTTTAATAAATTTTGATCAAATTTAATGAAATGTATTATTGAAAGTTGTAGGTCCAATGAAATATGTATCAAATTCTAGATTTTATTCCCTATCAAACAAGGACATATTATACTATATGATAATGATAATCATGTTTCCAAATTTTCTTTTTTCTACTAATTCCTGTGTCCTTAAAGAAAAAGAAAATTTGCTTAGATTTAAAATGATTTATGTGTCTTTCTTGAAAATTCAGCTCCCCCACTAAAAATGGTTCCAAGTAGTAAGATATAGGAACAAGAATATGCTCCTAAATCAGGATAATATTCTTGTGTTCAGGGGTGGAGTCAGAAAATTTGTTCAGTACGGGCATAATTTAACACACGTCAAACATTGAATTTTGGTCATAAATTTAATAATGATAAAACTATAAAAAAACAAAAACAAAAACAAAAACAAAAATAAAAACAAAAACAAAAAATGACATAGTTTATAATTAAACGTGTTCCTTGCAAGTTTTCATATTTTGACAAGTGAAATCCAAAATAACCTATACCTAAAATCAAGAAAAATCATAGGATATTGCTTAAAAAAAATAATAATAATAAAATAAAAATTTTTTGGGCCTAAAAATTCAATGCGGGCATATGCCCGCACTCGTCCTCACATGGCTCCGCCCATGCTTGTGTTAAAAAAATTCTAGCACGAAACTAGGAGAAGACTTCTAAGAATTAGAAATCATAATTATATACCATCGAGAGCAATTAAAATAGCAAAAAGAAAAATGGATACACACATATGATTTATAAATATTCACCTCAAAGTGAGACTACATCCCCTTCCGTCATTATAATAATTTTTTATGATGAAAAGAAGCTTGAAAGAGAAAATCGTACATCAAGATAATTTAAAACCTAATGATGACTTTCTATTTATAAGACAAATTAGGGTAAAATCAAGACCACTGTGGGCATATTATAGATTGAAACCTACTTGAACTAGATCTTCCGACTCTCACGCTTAAAAATGAATGGGCAGGTTCTGAAGACGACTGGCTTTCTAGGGTAAGGGATATTATTTTTAGAGTTATAGAACAATGTGGGTTATGCTCTAATAATGCAGCTGAACTTCGAGCATTTCTTACAAGTCTCAAGTTGTGTTACCAACGAACCTTACTAAAATTTAGTGCTAAAATGGGAGCTTTATTAATAGACAAGATAATAGAATCTCAAACTTTCCATATAGTATAGATAGGAGCGTAAAAACTCGTTAAAGAATAACAAGAATAAGCATGCTTTAATAAATTTGTTTTGAATGAGTAAATATTCAAAATGAGCTGTTTAATTAAGAGCTTGTTTGTCTCTAATTATGGGAGAAATTATAGAATTTTGAATAATATTTTTTGAGAATGTGTGGTTAAAATTTAAAGAAATTTTATTAGTTTGTGTGTAAATTATTTTATTATGTGAATATGCGATATAAAATATTATTGTAGTAAATAATTTAATTTGTTAAAAGATTACAAATTGGGGCTAAATCATTTAAAGCATAATTGTACCATGTGAACAAAGACTCTTAAATGCAACACATGAAGTAATAATAGGTTTTGACTAGTGAAGTTAGGTAAAGTGGCAGATGGGAGGTAGGCTATTTTTTTGTTTAGTTTTTGAAAAAGTAGGTTTAAGTTGGTAAATAACTTTTTGAAGCAGCCTATAACGTACCTCTGAAGAAAAATGAAAAGTTACCGCTCTAATTCCTAACTTATCACGCTTGTAACTACTTGATTGTTTACATTTCTAAGTGTTAGCGTCACTTGGTAGTGAAATTGTTTAATTGGAGATTAAATTCAACGTCTTTAATTAGATCAATGGAGTGTTAGGTTGTGGCAAGAGGGAGGAGAAAGAATTGCAACGACAAGAGAAAAGGTGTGTGCAAAGTTGTGATCGCGTGGTTGCTATAACTGGTGGAGAATTATTGGGATCGAATCAACAATTTTTCTATTTTATTTACTCTATAGTGACATGACGGATATGCTCATCGTAAAATCTTACATATGAAAGTCCTGTGCTAATTTGGGGGACATGTTGAATGATTTTCGCTCAAAAGGGCCACTGTTTTGGCAAAATTGGAATGTTAAGGGACCAAAATGTTACAATTATAGATTGAGAATCACATTACTACAACAATAAACATTTGGACCTAACACTCAAATTTTGGCACCTATATATGATTTTATATCATTCCATCCAAAATACAAAAACTTCGTATCAGGGTTTTAGGAATCGTTTGGCTGGACTTGCTTTCTTGTAGAATGTTTTCTAAGGAAACTACGGACTCTTTTGGTACGACTTTAGCTTTAACTTCCTGTAGAAGAGCATTTTGAGGAAGCTATGTTAATTTTTATTTATAAACTAATTCTAAAATAGATTTATATTCTAGAAGTAATTTTAGAAAAAGTCTTATTAGACCACGTTCCTCTAAAAACTCTTCTAATTAGAAGAATTACTTCCATAAAATTAGTCAAAAAAAAAAAATTGGATTTCGATAGCCCATTTTGACGTTTCTAAAATCACGCTCAATGAGTCATATATTAAGTCAACTTCCTTCAAAAAAATTTCAAGTAAGATAAAATACTTTTAAAAAATTATATAAATATGTTCAAAAGTAATTTTAATTTTTCAAAAGCATTTCAAATGAATCCTTAATCACTCTCTAAATCAGAATTACCTCTAATATTGATCATCCACTAATGAAATTTTAATAAAGTATTGCATCTCAATTATTCTCACAGTGTGTGAGAAAATGGACTACCACCCCACCCCAACCCTCTCCCTTTCGGGGTGTCTAGTAGTGTAGTGCATGTGTAGGGAAAACTCAAGAAACTATGGCCACGTCATGTGATTCTTCTTCCCATACCCAAAAGTGCCATGCAAATGACCAATTTTATTTTATTTTTTTTAAATTTACGGTGGCTGCGATCCCACAGCATAAACCATATTGGAAAAAGGATGAATATTCTCATTGTCAGTGTCACAAGATTTATTTTAGTACGGGTTCATGAATGAGATTTACTTATATATAAGTTAAAAAATTCTAAGTGAAATGCGATTTATGACAGGGTCTTGATAGACATGACTTACATGGAACCCACATTGATTAAACTATAGTGGCATAATCGGTATTTATAATCTGATCCGGTGGTCATTATTTCAAATATATATATATTGAATAATGATTTTTAGAAAAATATATGGTTAAGAAGTAAGGACAAATTTTAGATTTATGTATAAAATATTTTATCAATTATGCTAATTGTACATAATTTCTTGTACCTAACGGTGTTCGAACGAACACCCTTAGGTATAAGAAATCTTTGTTAAAAGAGTGATGTTATGTTGCATTAATCTGTTTGTACAGAAATATTATATAGGAATTCATACAAGTGCTGCATTGGTTGAATTTTTATTTTTTAATTGTATTTTGCTCAACACCCTATGAAAAACTATCAAGTGTAACCATATACAATTCTTTGTAAATTTTTCCTGTACACATATCATCGGTTTATTATTTATTATTTTTTTATTTTTATTTTTTGTAGTTACTTGTGTGGGTTAATTACGTCAATGGTTATTGAAATTATTTTTTACATTAGTAATAATTCAAGTTTTTAATCGACATATTGATAATCTCCTGGTCGAAAGTTATTTTTAAATCTACGTGACACAATTAAGTGCCAATTTGTTATTAGACGACGTTATTTTTTACGCAAATTAAGATGTATTGTGGAGTTAGAAAGTGTGGATTACATATGTTAAGATGAGAAAATGTAATGTCAAATTTGGTTTGCTCTAAGTTTGGTCTTAAATCAAATAGAAAACCCACTTTTGTTTTTTAACAACTATTTTGCTGACTAACCTAATGAGTAATGTTAGCATTGTTTGGTAGTGATTATGAGAATTGATTTTTTGATCGTCGGAAAAAAATTGAATCCCACTTGCAAGTGAAGAAATAAAAAATGATGACTGAAATAGTAAAATAACAGTAAAAAAATTGATTTTTTAGGATGAAAAATTACCATCAAACGAGAGCTTATTTGGTGATATGTTGACACTTAATAATGTAACATAATATTTAAAATTTTTATTGCATGATCATTTGTATAAGAATTCGAAATTTGAGTGTCTATTGCTATAATAAAATAATTTCAATGACCCTATTTGTGGGTATTGTCAGGGTATAAATATTGTCATTTTCTTAATAATTTAAATTACAAATGAAAGGAATACAAATTTTCATGTTCTTTTTTTAGTTTTTTCTTTTTTTTTTCCCTCAATTTTATTCATTCTATACTTTCTAACTCTTCAATAACTAGAGGAGCCTCACGAATCTAAATTAAGAGCCTGTCTCCTAAGGTTAATGCTTCAGTTTTTCTGTAAAAAGGGCGAAAAAAACATTTTGAGAAAGTCACATTGTGCTAACTTCCTCTAATCTTTTAGTCTTATAAAATATTTCTAAAAAATATTTAAACAAATTCAAATATAGGCACATAGCTTTCCATACACCCTTTTTCTCCTCTTCCTTACCAGGAGGGCAATCTTCTCTTATGGCGCAATCTTCTCTTATGGCCTTCACCTCCCGCCCCGCCCAGAAATACAGAGCAAAAGGCCCAAGATGAACCAATATGAATGAGCGTAAGCTTCGTTGCCCGAATCTACTCCCACGGTTGGCCTACTACTACTTTTATATATTATTGCATCACAGAAGCGATTGATGCTACCCTTCTTCATCTGTCCTCTGACGGTGGTGCGAATTATCACGAGCTGACCTGCCGTCTCCTCTCCTGCCATATCTATCTTCCCTATGATAAGACTCAGACTCATATTGTCTTGATCTCATTTCATCTCTTACCATGGTCTCTTCTCGACTTTGGTTCATAATCATTCCTCCTCGACATTTTACCCCTATTCTGTCCAAAGCATTTGATTCAATCCTTTCACACGATCTTTTCAAGCCTATGTCACTGAATTTTAGTGGGGAATTGTGTGAATCTTTGTTGGTATATCTGTGCCCTCTCAAAGTGGCAGATTCTGGAACATGGCTAGACTGATCAGATCGTCTTCCACACCTTGCTGAACCCTCGAATTTGTCTAGAGCCCATCTTGATTGTCTATCTTCTTCAGCTCCCCAACCTGTATTTGCTACTCTCTGAATTTGAGATAAAGGGCAATAACATAAGCTGACAATAGCCATTAGACAGAAAAAATGTCTCTCCACAATACGAGATGCTAACGAAGTTGGTAAGGCAAATTAAAAGGTTAAATTAACTCCCCAACCCTTCAAGCCACTAAGAACAACACAAAAGGAAACGGGTGACAGGAAGTTCATAGTAAATATCAAGTGAAAGATGCAGAAATAGCATGGTATAAGCATGTTTTCAACTTCAGTCTTTAGTCACATTAAAACGCAAAAGATTATGAATTAAGGACCTTCCAGAACTACCATGCTGCATATGACAATAGTTGACACTTAAAAAGCCTATACGAGTAAGGAAAATGTCACGAAGTTCGGTACGTTCCTTAACTACCATGCTGGGTTCAACAATAGATGAAAGTTAGAGCCTATGGGATTCCTCAGTCAAATACGAGTAAAATGGAATGAGTTGTTCAAAAAGATGGGAATTAAAAATGTGATGAACCATCTCACACACCTTTTTAAGACTGAAGCAACTTTTAGCAAACGGTACAAAATAAAAGAGACAGGATAGTTTGTGTATGACATCTAAACTCGTCTTCCTCAACAACAGGATTAGTTCTACATGACAGTGAGTTCAGTTAAAAAAAAAAAGAAACTTTGTTTCTTTAACTTAGATCATACATGCTCGAGGGCATACACACAAGCACACACAGTCGCGTGCACAAGTGTATAGAAAACACCCACATGTGAGTTGGCAAACATCAAGTAAAATTTCCAATGAAACCACTAATTTCTCGAAAAGTATAACGAATTAACAATCAGAGCAGCTATAGCCTATTATCCCCAACTACTAAAAATAATAACAATAACAATAATAATAAATAAATAAATAAAATAAAACAAGTGAGAAATGCACGTTACACCAAAAACCTACCAAAACAGTCGCTAGGAAAACTTAAAATGGCTTTAAAAAGCTAAGGCGCCATTTGGTTTGTGTTTCAATTTTTAGTTTTCATTTTTGAGTTCATTTTCTGTTTTTTGTTTTGAGGGTCTGTTTTAAGATTTTTAAAAATGCATTTGGTTTGTCATTTTGAAAAATATTTCTTAATACAGAAAATTAGAAAACACGTTTGGTTTGAAATTTTGAAAATGATGTTTTATGAAATTTTATTCCATTAAATTAGATTACCTAGCAATAGAACAATTTTATATTAATATATTATCAAGTATTAATATATTATGTTCAAGGAAAAAGAGTTGAGGAAAAACGAAAGAACAAAATTTTAACAATTATCTTTAGCACGTTAATCCTATACGGGAAAGGGGAATCAAAGAGATGTAGCAACGTTCATCAAAACTTACTTGCTTGTCGAGAGAGAACTTGCAGCCATCTCCACGATTACATTCTCCCCTTTGAAAAGCTCGCCAAATAACTTGTTCCTCTCTCTTTAGCCGCTCGGCTTCCTCATCCTCATCCTCATCCTCTTTCTTCTTGTAATTACTCATGTGATCAACTCTAATTGTTCGACCCAGAATTTGAGCTCCATTTAGACTATCTATACATTCAACCAACATGATGTTATGGAAATAGTGTTAGCATACTCTTTGGACGAGTCCTAAGGAAAAAGAAAAGCAATTGAAGGAGTAGAGAGACTTACCTGCGGCTAAATTTGTACTTCTTTGATCCTCATAAGCAAGAAAACAAAACCCTTTGGATTTTCCTGTGCCTTTGTCTCTAACTAAATTCATATCAACGACCTCCCCGTACTTGAAAGGTAAAATCAACTGAATTAGAAGGCAATTTTGTAACAAAATAGGGATATAAAATAACTATTTATGGGGGATTGATAGAAAGAGCAAAAGGACAAACTGAGCAAAGACTGCAAGGAGATCGCCTTCTGTGAGGTCAAAGGGGATCCCACCAACATAAACATAGGTGGAGTCTCTATACTTTGCATGCCAAGATGCCTCTTCAGATATGCCAAGTGTTGCTTCTTTCTTGTTGATGTTTTGAATACGCTTCACCAATATTAATGGACTCATCGGTCAGATTTTGAAATCCACTGCGAATATTTACAACTTTTACTGCTGCGACAAAATATAAAATGAAATCAACTGCCAAGTTCTTGATGCTGCGAATCAAATATAAACTCATGTCAAAAATTGTATATAGCTGGCAAAAAACTTAACCATTAGTACGACAAGATACAATTAAATCAAATCAAATCTAATCCAATCCATTTGTAAAACTATTAAAACAAATTATATTTTGAATCGTCGAAACTTAGGCAGGAAGGGAGTAGGAATTCAATATGCCAATTCATATCAAAATTCATGTAGATGACAAAAAGCGGAAGTTAACATAACAACTGGAAAATTTCCAAACGAAATCAAAATGTTGAGAAGCAGATGGCAGAAAAAGTGTGAGGGAGGTGAATAAAATTCCCAAATCAGGGTTTCCGGTCCAAAACAGCGTTGTTTGTGTCTCTCTCAATTCTTATTTATACATCTTATACCTACAGAGATTCAGAGTTCTCCTGAGTGTTTATAAACAGTGGCTCTTACACAATATATAAATAATAAATGGACAGCAAATTATGATTCCGCAAAATATGTTAATAGGCAAAAATAGTTTTCATCCCTTGTCAAACATTCCTTTCATTGATATTTTGTTCATCACAAGAAGATGCGGATTTATGTTTATAACTATAATATCTCAACACGCTTGTTACAAACAATCAGTTCAATTAATGCAAAGGACAAACATACAATCAATACTACCCTCAATTCAATAAGAAAATCAAAATTTCCCCAAATCAGTTCTTCAAAATGAATTCTAAAATTATAGAGTATAATTGCAATCAGAAGTTCCCAAGCTTCATTTAGGGGAACACAAGTCAACAGCATCACACAAACAGAGAGATCAACAATTATTGGGAAAAAAAAAAAAAAAGGAACAAAGCAAGCCCCTCCATGAAATTTAGTCAGAGAAAAAGAAAGAAGAATAATAAATTAATATTTAGGTTGTTACCTTTCAACAGCAATCAAAATCAAATTTGTCAAGTATCAACGGCAAAATGGGACAATAATCTGTTGAAAGCGGCGGTCCGGCGATGCGGAAAAAATCATCAGCGTGCAGCGGCGGCGGTTGAAATTTCAGCTTCCTAAATAACATTAGTTATTGAGTGGCAAATTGAGCCTAACAACAATCAATGTAGGATCTACGACGTTGCCGATGAAGTAGAAATAGCTTGGAAGAGCACAATTGTCATTCCAAATTTAAAATAAAATAAAAAGCAGGGGATATACGTGATAATGAATAAAGATTGAGGACCATCACCATAATTAAAATATAGTATAATAAATAAAAATAATATGAATATAATTACTCGAGAAAAATAACGACCCTTGTATGAAAAATTTCCAAATGCCCTTATTAGTAAGCTCTTGTTTGGAAGTGATTATAATTTTTATAAATTATAAACAAATAAAAATGACTAAAAAATAAGTAAATTATATTTGTAAATTTTACGAAATGTGTAGATAAAAAATGTATTTGACTAAAAATGTTTATAGTTTAAACACTCTCAAACAAGGGCTATAAATCTCATTAATCTTTGCCGAGGACAAAAATTAATAACAGAAGTATTTCGTGAAATTTTCACTTGTAAGTAGGGGTGGGAGCGGGTCGGTTTGGTTCGGTTCTAAAGAAAATCGAATCGAACCAAAATTTTCGAGTATTTAGTAAATGGAACCGTCGGATCCAAATATAACTATGGAACCGTTCGGGTTCGGTTCCGTTCGGTTCAGTTCAGCTCTGTACTATAATTAAATTTTTTAACATTTATAACAATATTATATAAATACAACTAATGACACATTCAATGGTTTTGAAATGTTAGAGACTTGTAGACTACATTGTTCAAATGATCGCTACAGTCAAAATTTCGGTTGGCGAAAGTCACAGCGTCGGTCGACAATTGTATAGATTAGTCAGCTAGGTTGCGAGAGTCGAGATAGCGTTATGCACTTTAGTATAGGTATTTAGGGTTATTTAGTGGGTTGGATCTTGTTGGGCTAAGAAATGAGACAATAAAAGGGGTATTTGGGCCAAAAATTAAAAAATTAGAAATAAAATAAATTATTGGGCCAAAAATTTGGATTTAAAAATTGTTAATTTGTTAATTTCTTTAGAAAAAATTAAAATTAAACTAATTTGATTTATTCAATATAAAAAAAATTAGAAAGATTCAGTTCTTATTCGGTTCTTGGTTTAGAACCGAGAACCGAACCGTACCCGTCAGTTCTCAATTCAGATGCCCGTTCGGATATTTAATTTGACAAAAATCGTCGGGTTCGATTCGATTCGACCGGTTCGATTAAGGAGATTTGCCCAGCCCTACTTGTAGGAAATTTACACCATTAGGAAAAAAAATTAGGGACATGGATTGAAATTTTTACAAAATATTGCAAATTTGGAATAAAGACTAGCGCTTAAGGTAAAATATGTCAATTACCGTCTATGTAATTTTTGGCTTGCTTGTAATTTTTTGACAAATTACAGTGTATGCAAGTTTTTTATAATGATGGTAACTTACTAGGGGCATGTTTGAGAGCGATTTTTTCACCCAAAAAATTGATTTTTTGACTGTTATTTCACTATTCCAATCGTCATAGTTATCTTCTTCTCTTACAGGTGGACCCCATTTTTCTCCTAATTGTCAAAAAATCAATTCTCAAAATCACTCCCAAACAGGCTCTAGGTATAACTTATTTTTCGAAATTATAAGTTATAATCTATAGCCTATAAATTGTGTAGTTGTAACTTAGCCCCTATTTGTTTAGTTATCATTATTTCAAAATTCATTTTTTTCACTCATTTTTAATAATACAGTCTCATAATAAAAATATTACATTCGTGTGATCAATTAATTTTAAAAAAAAAAATAATACCTAATTAATGAAATCAGAACTTAAAAAGTATGATTTCAAGTCATTTTCTCACAATGTACCCTTATTGCATGGGGAAAGGGCCCTATACCTTTTGAATTTGTGGACTCCAGTTATTCATTCATGGTCCAGATAAAAAGTCTAATATAAAATTTTGGGACCCCTTTTGTCTGCACTTTGTTGCCCTAAATAACTAACTTTGCAACGCCACACCACACAAGACAGTGGGGTAATTTAAAGAGAATTTTTTAGCCTTAAAATATGAATCAAAGAAATGAAAAAGGCATAAAGTTAGATGTGAAAGATCTTAATTGGCAACTAAAATAGTTCAAACATGGAAGGTGAATGATTGATCCAATATGTGTGATTATTTATCTATCTAGTTGTTGCCTCATAGAATTTTCTCGAAAATAAGATGAAAGTATTGTAACATTTGAGTACGTATAACAAACAAAAATGGACACAAACTTTCAAGATCTGAACAAAATGACAACAGAATTGGTGATTTAGTTCAGTTGAAAGGCTAATTTGAGAGCTTGGATGAGGCATCCCACGCACTAATCTACACACATAACCAATGTCATAAACCGATCAAAGTACAACCATGAGTTCAGATTTACACTTCAAAACCGATAATCAAAGACCATACAATTCTCATAAACAACGTCAACACAAAAGTTTAATTGACGCTTAGAATCTCTCTCTAACACATGAAATACAATAATCTATTTTTAAATGATGATTTTATTTATTTATTTATTTTTTGCTTTAGAAATCAATGTTTTTATGTGATTTATAGATGATCCTAAAAAATAAACATGTTATTTGTATTTTGCAGTTATTTTTGTTCTTTTCATCAAGCGTTTTGTATCTTTACTATAGTATGCATATCGAGGAGCGAAGCTTGGAATCAAATTGAGTTGGGACATAACTAAACTAAGAATACTTTTTTTTTTTAAAAATAAAAAGGAGCAATAACGTTTAAAATGTTACAAAGAACCTCGTCTCAAGTGGATGGAAAAACAATGTAAAATTTTTATGTTTCTAATGTTATCGTGCAAAGAAAGGGACCTCGTCTCGAGTCTAACTCGAGTGGGGAAAGGAGTTGAGTTGCTCAAAAGGAAGAGTATTATCAAATGGGACTAAAGCTGATAATTACATAATAAATTATTCTACCATTTTCCCTTGTGAAGGGAGCTCCTTGATAGACTTCAATTGTTGAAGAAATGTCCCATGAACGGCTGTTTTCATGTGGGACAGATGTTCCTCAGGTTTCCTTAGATATCTAGCAAGAATAGAGGAATATAGATAAACAAGATCAATCGTGCTAGTGGTATATAATTTATTGCACCCTAGGTTACAATAAATTATGTACCACTAGAATTATTCAAACAAGATTCATTTTTAGCCAAGGGAAGAATTTATAAACAATTTAATTTATAAATATATAGAAATGAATTATGAATAAATAGATAGTATTTGTGATTTCATTAGAATCTGTTGTCAAAATTCATTTATAAATTTTGTCAAACGAACACAAGATAAATTACGTCCTTATTTTTTGGGGTTATCGATGTTGTTCCAAGGGTGGTTCTATTCTCTTAAGTGTTCGAGTGCAATCAACCACGAATAACTAGGTCGAGTTCATATGAGTCCTGCTCTTGATTGTACAATCATTTTCAGCAATTTAGTTCCTTAAAAGTCATTCGATATTGATCAATTTTCACCCCATCTGCTAGTAGGAGGTTTGTTATCAAGGTCCCGTTTGATTCTCATTTTTATCAAATATATTTTTCACTCTCTTCTTTTTAATCATACTTTTTTTATTAAAATAATATTATACGTAAACCAAAAAAATTTCATCATTTAGGATGTCAATGAGTTGAGTTGAAATTCGAGACTCGAGCTCGGCTTAGTTAAAATGATCAAACTTTTTTCGGGCCGGCTCGATTTTGGTAATTTTTTTTTTTTTTTTTTGTATTTTTTTTTTTAATATAGGCTCATGAGCTCGAGCTGACGAGCCACACGGGCCGGTTCGAGCTTTGTGGCTCGCTGGCTCGAGCTTTGCCCGGCACTCCAAAATGGAGCTTGACCCGATTTTCAGCTCGGTTCTCTTGAGCCTCAAGCCGAACGGGCCAAACTTTTTTCGAATAGAGCCACGAGGAGCCCGAGCCAATAAGCTCGATTGCCAACACTACCCCCATTCATTATGATGATACATCTACCGTGAATTAGAAAAAATGTATATTAAACTAAAGAAATTAAGTAGTGATTGAAAATCATAACAGAAATCAATTTGTAACATTTAAGTCAAACATACTCAACTTATTATGACTTGCTTTTATCTAGTCATATAAAGCCGATGCATTAAATTTTGTTTATGTCTGTGAGTAATTATCTAAATTAATAATATTTTTCCATCTTGAGCCTTGAATGAACTACATTCGATTCCTAGTTAAACATTGGTATTAAGTTCCTTCTATGATAGATTACTCAAGCTCTCGGAGTAGGTTCATGGAAAATTCATGAGCGTCGATGTCAAAAATAATATTAAAATAAGAGATTATATCGATAAAAGCATTTTTCTTTACAATAACTTGGACATTTTAAAATTAAAGTTTACGTTAACAAATCCAAACAGTGATAATCAAAATAACCAAATCTGTGTCGTTGCCCCAAGCTCCAATCTCTTGTAACTTCGACCAAAATAGGAAAGTTCTAAAAAGTCCCCAAAACAATCTTAAATTCCTTACTATAGAAGCCTTTTAGATCATCAGTTTCACTGACCTCAAGAATCAACCAAGAAATGGACTTGATGAATAATGGGAAATGATACTTGTACACCCTACGGTGTGTACCATTACGTAGGTATATTATCACTTATGAATTATTAACTATAAGGGTGTGTTTGATTATCAACATTTTTCCATAAAAATGTGTTTTCTACATGAATTTCTAACTTTGCGTTGTTTGATTGACTTTTTTCCCCTGAA